CCTTCTTCTGTGTAAAAAAATTCACTTGGTGTTCCCTTTTTCAGCATTCCAAAAGGAAAATGCGATTCTTTGTTTGTTTGTCAAAAAGACGCTTCAGTCAAGTCCGCAATTTTGCCGCTCCTCCCAAGCGAACACAGACAGGTTCATGAAGTGTCATTTGCTTTGCTCTCCTCCCACAGTAAGAAAAGGCTTCAACGAAGCTTATCTTTGGGCCTGAGTTCGAAAAACATAATGTGCAGAGTTTATATGCATGTTCTTGGCGTTCTTTGTGCCAAAGGCAAAAGATCCAAGAACACAAGCGTGATTCCAATCAGATACCTACTAGCTCAAACACGTGTAGTGCCTTCAACCTGTCAGAAGCTTCATTCAAGAACAAGTCACTCTGTGCCCCGTCCCACCTCACCCCCACGATTTTCAACCCTTGGCCCCCCACCCTCCACTACCTCCCAGACCTGCCACCCCGCCCCAATTCCGACAACGCCATTCCCCGGCTCCCGCACCCCCAATGCCCCGCCGACAACCCCCCCCGCCCCACCCCAACCCACACCCCCACAACGCCCCTACCCACACCACCCACACCCCACCCACCGCCCGCCCACCCAACCCCACTCCACCCTGACCCACCTCACACACAACTTCCGCATAACTTCTGCATAAGCCCCTGGCCTATGCAGAAGTACTTCTGCATAAGCGCGATATTTATGCAGAAGTTATGCAGAAGTTAAGAGCTAAGCCAGACTCAAACTTCTGCATATATGCAGAAGTTGGTTTTGGGCCCGCGCGATAAACTGCATAGGCCCAAGGGTCTATGCAGAAGTTATGCAGAAGTTCTGCGTAGACCCCTGGGCCTATGCAGTTTATCGCGCGGGCCCAAAACCAACTTCTGCATATATGCAGAAGTTTGAGTCTAGCTTAGCTCTCAACTTCTGCATAACTTCTGCATAAATATCGCGCTTATGCAGAAGTACTTCTGCATAGGCCAGGGGCTTATGCAGAAGTTATGCGGAAGTTGCGTGGCTATGCAGAGGTGGTCCGCACAAACCCAACATAGCCCCGTCTATCCGTTCCCCTCCGTGAAACCCAGCCCCGAACCTTACTTCCCGCCCTCGGCAGCCATGAGGCCAACTCCACCCCAACCGACCAACTGCCCCCCAAGCCCAAAACTCTCGGTTTCCGTTCCCCTCCACGAAACCAATCCCGAACCTCCTTCCCCCACTCCCAGGCCCCAACCCCCGCCCATCAAGCCCAAAAGCCCCCAAAGTCCGAGGACCCCATCAATCAAAACCCTGAGTCTCCGTTCCTCTCCGTGAAACCCACCAAGCCCGACCCAGACCAGCACCACCCAACCCCCAACGCCAAACCTCCAACCCTCAAGTACACCTTAAGTCTCCGTTCCTCTCCATGAAATCCCGTGAAATCCAACCCCGAAACCCACTCCTTGCTACCCAGACCAGCACCAACCCCAAACCTCCAACCTTCAATTGCTTCCTGAGTCTCCGTTCCTCTTCGCAAAACCCAACCCCGAACCTCACTACTTGGTCCAGCCGCAAGCCCCACCCAGACCAACACCATCCCAACCCCAAAAGCCCCTATCAGTCTCCATTCCTCGTCACGAAACCCACCCCAATCCTCCAACCTTCTTCTAGTAATGTCTGAGTGTCCGTTCCTCTTCGCGAAACCCAACCCCGAGCACCCACGCCCCACCCAGACCAACACCACCCCAACCCCCAACCCCAAACCCAAGTACTCCCTGAGTCTCGGTTCCTCTTCGCGAAACCAACCCCGAAACCCACTCCTTGGCCCAGCCCCAAGTCCTTGCCCGACACCCCAAACCTTCAAGTACCCCATCCATCAGACCACCCCACCCCAAAATCCCCCGGCCCCAAACCCCCAACCCCGCCAAGCGCCCCAACCCCTGGCCCCAAGCTCCAAGCAACAACGCCAAGCTCCCTCAAAGTCCACATGCAACCTTGAACTTTCCGGTTCCCCAATGCCATGGCCGAGCCCCAGCACTTCGCCAACCCCAAACCAAAGCCCCCAAAGTCCCAAATCCGCAGCCTCCACGCCAAACCCCAAAATCCACCTGCAGAGGTGGTCGGGACAAGCTGCCCGAACCTCATTCCCCACTCCCAGGCCCAACCCCAGTCCAAGCCCACCCACCGGTTATGCAGAAAAACGTCTTCAAAAAAGTGCAAATGCTCGCGCCAAGGGTAAAACTCAGAAACTCTTAAAGTAGCAATTTCAATGTGGGTTTCTGGAAAAAGGCAGATTTGCACACAGTGGATGTGAAAAGCAGCGCCGAAACAAGGCTCGCGACAATTAGTACTTAATGGTTCCCGACAAAGCAGCGATATCTTCGATCCACGACGTACAAACTCGGTCGATTCCTGCTGCAAAGGCTTCACCTTCCTCCACAGCAGATGGGAACGACGCGAACAGGACGTCCACCTTTAGATCCATCACAACAAGTTTTTCAAGAAGATGTCTCCAAAGCTGTTTGCATGCTTCCCTGGCCGCTGTGTCATGTGCAGTCATTCCGGCAGTTGCAAATTCTTGAAACCTTCAAAGGGACGAGCAATTAGGACCAATACAGGTAACCTCTGTGGTCCGCGCGCACGTACTTGAAAACGAACAAGAAAGAGCCGACTGACGTATGTCAGAGGGACAGAGTATTTACGAAGACAAATCCCTTTAAGGAAGGGGTCGGGGACTTCCTTCAAGCAACAAAGTCGCAATTCAGGCTTTAAACCTTCCTAGGATGAGCCCACTCTCTTCTTGGATGCAACTTCCAGCAAGTACTTGCACAGAAGACCCAAAAAAGGTACGCTGCAGGCCTTAACACCAGCCCAAAAGCCGACTGACGTATGTCAGAGGGACACAACACAAAAATATAAGGCTCAGCACAGCACTGAAGCCCCTTCCAGAGCACAAATTGCACTTCTCCACTGCAACGACAGCAGCAACTCTTGAGAGACGCCTCTGTCAAACCTTGCTGCCGGCAGCAACTGCAACAAGCCCTGCAGTGAGGTAAACAGCCCTCACTTTCAGAAAAACAGTGTGGTAAAGGCTTTGGACGCCCTACACTGTGAGTCTCCCAGGGCCTTCCCTAAGCCCTCGAAAGTGAGGGAGCCACCTAACTAGTAACAAGCCTTCTAGTTACGGACTCCCACCCTACTACGTCTCCGCAGAGCTTCCCTTTAGGAATTCTTGAGCCGAGACGCCTTGAGCCAAAGGGCTACGGAGTAAATGCGAAAGCGTCCTTGATAAGCGCCCGGAGGGGTAACGACAGTCCATGCTACAGTGTTATTCCAATCTGCCTGGCCCGTCCCGGGCGTCCCACACCTCCTGTTAATTAACATTGTAAAACCCAAACGGGGTGTGGTGTAAAACACAAGGAAACAGGGACCCGCAGGGACCCGCATGTGCGTTTTTTCTAGGAAACGAGGGACTCGCAGCGACCCGCAAGGACCCGTGATTGCAGAATTCCCTCGGAAAAACAAGACCCGCCCCGACCCGCAAGGACCCGATAACCGGATTCTTTGGAAGCCGCAGGTCCACCCTGTTTCTTTACCTCTCTCTATGGAGGGATCTCCAAAACCCAACAGAATCCAACTTCGAGGCTGAGAAGAACAAGTGGCTGAGAATCTTGACTTTCTGACTTCGTCCAGGATCGAGCGCTGAGCTCTGTAGTCGTTGTATCTTTGGGTCTCCAAAAAGCTTGCAAAACTGGGAAGAGGCCTTCGACATATATTGTATGGGGGGGGTTCATGGCTCAATTAATTTCGGGGTCGTTTTGGTTGATTTTTGCATCTAAAACGGGGTTCGGGTGATTCCCCCGATTTCTCCGTTTCGGGGTCGAATCGGGAGTTTTCAGCCTCGAAAAAACTCGAAATCTCGCGATATCGAGGCGAGATTCGGGAGTTTTCAGCCTCAAGAACCATGATGATACCATGATGAAACCATGATGACCCCATGATGATTTCAAGACGAACCCATGATGACTCCATGATGACTCAAGACGACTCAAAGATGGATCGCCTCGGTTCGTTGATTCCAAAGCTCAAAGATGAACGTGAAAGATCTTTTTTTGTCGAACGATTCCCTACGGCGTGTCCGGGATTGACCCCAATCAGTTTTTTTAGCAATTCTACCCGTTTTACCCCCCTCCCAATGGTCCATGAACCCCCCCCATACAATATATGCCGAGGGCCTCTTCCCAGTTTTGCAAGCTTTTTGGAGACCCAAAGATACAACGACTACAGAGCTCAGCGCTCGATCCTGGACGAAGTCAGAAAGTCAAGATTCTCAGCCACTTGTTCTTCTCAGCCTCGAAGTTGGATTCTGGTTGGGTTTTGGAGATCCCTCCATAGAGAGAGCGCCCATTCATGCTCCCCCGTCTCCACCGCAGAATAGACAAATCTGACGTGCAACCAGGGATAGAAAAATCTGACGTGCAATCAGCATGAAACCGAGTCAAGCGAAGAGAAAGCAGCTAAAGGTTAACAGCGCACTCGAGCACACGTAGAGGATGACACAGGGGTTATAGAGTTTATTTTTCGACTTGTCCTGGTTTCTCTGTCGAGTGTCCGTGGTACAAGTAGCTTCCATCCGACGCTCTGCAGCCAGCCACAAGCAACGCATCCAAAAAACTGCAAGATCTGCACTAGGAGAGGCCTCTTTGCTTCGTGGGAAGCCCGCCGTGACCTCAGAGAAGAAGAGACAACGTGGCAGCAAAGCTTGCTCAAGAAACGTGATGCGGCGAAGCTGGCATATTTGTGACTCTGGCGTCAAGGCTGTGGTGCTGTCCAAAGCCAAAGCCTAAAGGCCAAGCGGCCTCCAATGCTTCCGACTGTAGTTCGGAAGGCTTTGCGATCGCTTGCTCTGTACTGCAAGCTTGCAAGCGTGGGGAAAAAACAGCATGGTTGGTTATGGACGGTTTAATCAAGTGCATGCTACTTAGGAGTTTTTTCCCGCCGGCTTGCCCCCAACACTAAAAAACTTCAGCGATCGGAGAGATTCCTGAGCAGGCCTCCCCAGGCGACATTCGCCTTAGGCGGCACGCCTCTGACATACTCTAAGATAATCTCTAGCAGCGTGTCGCTGCATTTCAGTCGCAACCAAATTCCCAGCAAGGAGTTCTTCCAATGCTCCATCGGACGACAGTAGCACCTGTTGATTTGAAAGGATTTGTCGATGAGAACGTTCAAGGTCTTCCTGCTCTGCTCGATGATGTAGATGGAGTGCTGCGAAGCCCTGAGCTGTGTGAAGCTGCTGTGGCTAGTCAGGTTCCCCAGATGCGTTTGGATGAAATCGGCATGGCGGGTGGTTGTCAGGACGTTTTTTGGGATGCCCTTGCCCTTTCGGATCTCAACTCCGTCCGAAAGCAGCATGCTGTATTTTTTCACCGCGAGGCAGACGATATCCAGGATCGCCAGCTTGGAGCACTCGTTGGACAAGGCTCCCAGCTTCCCACGCAGCTCCATCAGCCGCGCCATGGCTGCGACCGAGATCTCGCTCCCGTAGATCTGCTCGAAGACGGTCGGATCCATGTCGCCGATGAGGTCCAGCGCCGCGTCCGGGATCGCCAAGTTCGCCTCCGCCAGCAGCTTTACGGGAGAGCATGGTCCAAGGATCTCCATGCACACGCTGTCCGTGTCCGTGAAGATTGGCACGATTCTGGGTAGCGTCGGCTTGAGGACCAACCAGTACTGCTTGGCCAGCGCGAGCTTTGACAGCTCCAAAACGCCCCAGCCGACCTGGATGGGGCTGCGGTTGACATTGTGCCTTGCATCGCGAACCCGTAGCACCGTGCCCAAGAAGGCGTCCTTCTCCATGATCTCTACCCTGAAGTCCGCCACCCGCCGATCCGTCTGAGCCTTGCTGAAGGCCTCCGCGTTGAAGTAGTGCGAAGAGTTTCTGTACTTCTCCTGGTTCTGCACCGTTTTGCCGTACACGCTGTTGAGGCACAGCTTTACAAAGCCCTGCTCGACGTCCCGTCCCAGCTCTTTGAGCGTCCTGCGTCGTTCATAGGCGTCCCGCATGAAGGATGCCAACCGTGGTTCGCAGGAGAAGACGTAGGCTCGATGGATTTTCCAGATCCGCGCTCCCAAGTGGTTGCGCAAGAATGCCAATCGTTTCGAGTGGATTCCCTCCATCTCGTGCATTCCTAGGTACGGCACCAGTTTCTCGGAGGGCGGCCTGCCTTCCACGGCTGGTTTGGTGTACGGCCCCACGTCACCTTCTCTGATCTTTAGGCGGGCAGGAGGCGCGAAATCCAAGACATCGTGGAAGGCTTCGGGGAAGTCGTAAGTCACGAAGACGAGGTGACACTGCTCCGGCGGCTCGTGGTTCAAGAGATTGTGCAGCCACTGCAATTTCTCGTCGTCGTCCTCGGGCAATGCAACCCGTTCCCCTGACGAGACGGGCAGAGGCGTGGTCATGGCGTCCGGGTATATGCTGTTGATGTCCAGATACATGATCTGCTTGGTGGGCTGGTAGGGGTCGTACTCGAGGTCCGGGGAGTTGGCCTGACTGCGGGGCTGGAACACGGCGCAAAGTCCACCCATCATGGCGCGCCTCACGTCATTGTAAAGCTCCCGGTCCAGGATCAGATCGAAAGACGCGCCCCCGCGCAGTGCTGCGTGCCACGATGCCGACGGCAAGGAGGGGTACTGGAAGACGTCCAAGTGGCACTTCTCCATGAAGCTAGTCCGGAAGATCTGCATCAAGTCGGCGTAGGCTGTGATGTCCAGGGCGAGGTAGCAGTCCAAGATCTCCTGGAAGCTCCCAAACTTCATGAGCTCGCTGGTCGCCTTCAGCTCCTCGTGCTGCTTCGGTGAGCAGGGTCCGGAGAGCCGGCTGTGATAGCACTCAAGGTCCCAAACGGGCGGTTTCCTAAGGTCGGCGGGGTCTCTGAAGTGGTCCCACGGCATCGGCAACTTCCTCATCAGAGCGCTCCACGTGGCGCTCTTGCCATCTTCGATGCCTCGGAGGTAGGGGTGCCTCTCAGCAGTGATCGGGAAGGCAGCATCCAGGCATTCCGAAGACTTGCGGTGGGAATCGATCAATTTCCCCAAACCCGAGGGGCAGAAGTTGATCGTATCCACGAACCGCAGCCGCCCGATGTCCAGGGTGAGGTTGGTCTCTCCGCTCTTCTGCAAGATTGACACCTTACCCTTTAGGAGTTCGTCGGTGCCGGGCAACTGGCGGACGAGCTTCACTCGCCGAGCCAACTCCTTGGGCTTGAAGGTCCGAATCTTGCCACTCCTGGTCGCTGGTTCGCTCCTGGCTGCCGGTTTGCCGAGTTGGTTGCGAAGCTTTATTTTCCAACGAAACTTCCGTTAGCGCGCGTTTGGGAAACCCTAACTGCGCTGCAGAGGAACCCTGTGCAAAGCACTCTCTCTTTTTTTCTCCTAGCGGACATGGGGGGTCAGTTCGGGCCCGATCTTCGGGCACTGAAGAAACGATGCCACTGGCATCTTGACGGAAAAACTCGACCGCTGGTCGATGGTAAGGCGAACGACTGGTTCACCCCCCCTACAAGGGACCAACCCGTACAACGGGACAATAAGGTGAAACATTCTCTGACCTACTGGGTCACTGCAGCTACCAGTTGCTACTGTGTAATCAGACGGCCTACGGCCTATGTACAAGAGCGCACTCTGTGCTGACGCCTCTCTGCTAGAGAGAACATAGGAGCGCTGCTCCTGGCAGCTCTGCTGCTTATGCGGTGTCCCAGACCCCGCATACTATACAGGGTGTGGCGGGTGGGATAAAAACTTTTTGGATCACAGATCCAACTTCAAGCCGAAAGCTGCACGGCAAAGCTTGTCTAGTGTCACTCACACACAAGTGAAAACACTGTTTTCCTTTTTCGACAAACTTTGTCTACACTTTCGGCGGAAAATAAAACCCATTCACGCACGCATGATGGATGCTTATTTTCCAACGAAACTTCCGTTAGCGCGCGTTTGGGAAACCCTAACTGCGCTGCAGAGGAACCCTGTGCAAAGCACTCTCTCTTTTTTCTCCTAGCGGACATGGGGGGTCAGTTCGGGCCCGATCTTCGGGCACTGACGAAACGATGCCACTGGCATCTTGACGAAAAACTCGACCGCTGGTCGATGGTAAGGCGAACGACTGGTTCACCCCCCTTGAAGGCACTCGAAGCCTTACTCACCCCCCATTCAGTCCGCGCCGAGTGACAAAGCCAACGGCACTGCGTTGGGCGGCAGGTATTGGCGCGCTGCGCCTAGCCTCTGAGTCTCTTCCCACCAGTCTCTGCTGGGGCCATCAGCGATGTTGCTGTCTGTCGGGACTCGGAAGAAAGCAGCCCTGCACTGCAGAGACTCTTCAAAATCCACCGCTTGCGAGACTATCGCTGCGCCTTCTACCTTCCGTGTGAAGGCCTTGTGCAAGGAAGTACGCGCTGCGTCGTTGTCTATCCAGACGAACAGGTCACTGCCTGCTATATGCTTTGCCCACAGCTGAAGGCTAAGCAAATAGGGCAACAGCTCGCACTCATAGACCAACTGCTGTTTCTGTGCCCTGGCAACCCACTGGGCTGCAACCTGGCTGCTGATCTGCAGCCTCCAGGTGAAGGCGATGCCTTCTCCAATGAGCACTGCTCCGAGGCCACACTTGGGCACCAGTCGCGGGGTCTCCCACTCGCAGGCCCCGATATACAGGTGCACCTTCCTGCGCACATGGATGGACACTGTCCTAGGCGGTCCGTGCACGACTCGTTGCAGCAGGAACGCCATGGCTTGGCACTGCTGCTCGGTGAGGGGGACTTGCTCTAGTCCATCCCCAAGGACGTCGCCGACGCAGATCACTGCCATGCGGGTGTTGCGGCCCCAGGCTTGCTGCTCAGCGAAGATGAGCCTGCCGCGCAGGCTCTGCGCTTCCAGGGGGGACATGCTGCCGCGGGCGAGGGCCTCGCTGAGGACCATCCCCAGCTCTGCTGCACGGGTCGGCTTGTTGCTGACGGAGATTTCTCCAAGGTGCTGCTTAGACAAGTCGACTCGCACGCCTAGCACGTCGAAGACTTCGCTGAAGTCGGCGTTCTTCTTGGGCTCTGTGGCCACTTGCCAGCCCAGCTTGTTAAAAAGGTTGGACACTGCCAAAGTGACGAGCTTCGAGTGCGCGCTGCGCGTAAGAACTGTGAAGTCATCGAAGAAGCTCGTCATCACCAAAGCAAGCTTCTCGCGGCCGATGGCTTTCAGCGCTTCGCTGCAGCGGAGGAAGGCGTGCACGGCGGCCACTGCGCCGAAAGGCATGCTGTGTAGGTGGGCGATTTTAACCTTCCCACTCTGTGGGTCCACCATGACGATGCACGCAAATTTCTTGTGTGCAGCCTGCACTGCAAGCTGCTTGTAGGCACTCTTGAGGTCCCAGGTCCTACCTACGATGCGGTGGGCCTGCTCTGCGGGCACACCCTGGCGCAGCCACTCGAGGCACACGGCGAGGAGCTCGTCGATGCTGTCGACTTGGACCTTCTCTGTAGTCCCGCAGCAGCTGTTGATAAAGCTGCTCTTAAAATTATCAATGGGGCGCACTTTGCCCTTTTGCACAACGCCGAAGCGAGACGATACTATCGTCTCGTGCAGTTTTGCTGGCGAGAAGTCTTCCAAAGAGAGCCAGCCCTGCTGGCCTTCCTCTATTGTGCTTTCCCAGACCTTGTCCGAGACCCCGTCCTGCGAGGGGCGCAGCGCGCTGCGAATGCCGCGCATACCTATACTATGGGCGTTTTCCAGTATTGATTTCTCATCTAGAGAAGGAGGCAGGATCTGCACTGGCCACAGCCCACTGGGTTGTATCCAGCCAAGCAGGGGAAAACCTTCCCGCACCTGCTTGGCCAATGTCCTGTCCGGGAAGTCGATTTCACTCAGAAGCTTTGCTAAAGCCACTGTCTGCTTAGGCTTGGTGACGCTGTTCACCTGAGCGTCAATCGAAGAACGTGCCCCGGCCTCGAGGGCTTGACACTCTGTGCAAGTTCTCGAGATCTGCATCGATGCCAATGTGCGGCGCTTGGCCAGCAGGACAGTGTCTTCATGCACTTCGGCAGAGATGGCGCGCTTGAGGGATAAAGGCACTGCCTCAATGTCCCTGGCCGGGTGATCTATGAGATGCGCTCTGCGCACCCAGTGCAATGGCTGCAGCGGGATGGCGACGATTGCTTTCTGGGTGGCTTCGATCCACTGGATGAGCCTAGAGCCTTTTGGGAAGCAAGACCACGATTGTGGTAGCTTCTGGGGAGTCTTCCAGCCTCGAAAGCACCGCGCTGCGGGGCCTTGGAGAGTGACTTTGTCACTGAAGTCTGGCTCGTAGCGCAGGCGTCGCAGACGCTTGCGGCTGAGAGGCGCTGCCTGGAGTGCTGCTGCGCATTGGTCTGCCGCGAGGGAGACCCATACCGAGCTCAGCTGAGTGGTGTAAGCGCTTTCTAAAGAGGTAGACCACACTGTGGAACCATCCACTGAGGCTCTGCCCCAGGGCAGATGTTTGTGGCCTCCGTCGCAGTCCCTGCTTAGACCGGAGAACCAATCCAGGTTTGAGAGGATTGCAGTACGCTTGCGGCGCATGCTTCCGAACATGCACGCGTCAAACTCCACTCTGTAGGCTGCCTGCAAGGCCTCTCTGAGGCAGGGCATCCTCCAGAGGAGACTACGAGCTGGATTTTCTATGGACCAGCAAACGCCGCGCTGAGATAGGGAGTGGCAACACTGTGCCATGAAGGCAACTAGGCTGTTCGCGCTGCGAACTCGTGCTGCGTCTGCTCCGCGGAGGCCTTTAAGGCCCGCTGGGCGTGATTCGCTGCGCAAAGGGCCCGGCGCTCCCGGCCTGGGAATCTCTCTAGCTCTGCTAAAAGTGCCGCACGGCGGGGCCCAGTGGACCCATCGCAAGTCTTGGTGTGAGAGCACTGCTCTCAGTAGGTTGCGACCTAGCTGCGTACAAAGGTCGAGCTGCAAGACCTTGAGGCCTCTGGCCTTGGTCTTGTGATCCACTGCGACGTTCGAGAAATTTTTCTCGATGGCCGCCTTGCTAAGGCGACCGAGGCCGCAGAAAACTTCCACGAACAGTGGCGGACGGGGGGCCGCTCGCGGAGCAGGCTCAGGGGGGAAAGTGCCCATAGCATTGTCTGCCGGCACGCTGTGCTGTTCAGACTTCAGACAACAGGAGCGCTGGGGGGTCGGCGTCTGCCGCGAACCCTGCTTCAGGTGACGGCGCTGCTGTGGCACTTCCTGGCTTACTTGTTGCAGGCGGGTACAACGACAGTGCCGCGGTAGAAGGGTCAGGGCTCTGCCCTGCGCGTGCCGCGGTGGCAGGTTTCCAGCGCTGCTGGGCGAGGGCTCAGTGGCCAAGGGCTGTTGCGGCTCTGCCGCGCTCAGGGCAGGGGGGCCTAGTCAGGCGGCCCCTGCGTCCTTGGGGCAATCTGCGGCTCCGTGTTCGGAGCTGCCACAGCTCATGCACTGATGCAACCCCCTGTCGCACTGCTTGGGGGAGCCGGAGGTCTCAAGGTCGCACCCGCACTGCAGGTTGAAACCGTAACACAAGCGCTTGCCCGACTTGGAAACGCTGTTCAAGTGGCGAAGCTCCTTTGGCATGCTCGGCGGCCTGGAGCGCTCTGCGCTCTCGTGCCGTTTACCCTTGCCCTTTCCGCGGCCTTTCTTGCCGCCTTTCTTGCCTTTGCCGGTCGTGCTACGACTGCGGTCTTCTTCGCTGCGCGTAAAGCTGCGGCCCTTGCCCTTGCGACCCCGGTCTGCCACTGGCGAGGGGAGGAGGTGCAGCGTAACGATAGGATCGGACCACATGTTCTCTACTAGAGAATCTAGTGGCCTCTTACCATCCTTGTCCGGTTTACAACCCTTGCGACACTCTCGCGCGAGCAGCGTCCACAGTTCTTTATCGGCCCGTACTACGTGCCAACTGTTGCCGCGCTCCATCCCCGGCGGCGCTGGCCGGTTCAGGACGGAGAAGAACTGTCGCACGAGTCTCTCGTGAATCGTGAAATCCAACACGCCGACTCTGTCGAGCGCGAGGCCCCTGCGCATGAGCGCCTGCGTGAGCTTTAGCTCATTGCCGATCTCGACGTGCACGCTGTGCTCCTTTTTCTTTACTGTGATCTCCCCAGACTCTAGGGAGAGGAAGTCCTTGTCACGCCTCACTGAGGCGATCTCGGCATCCCGACTGACGCACTGCGACGGTGGGATGTAACGAACGATGCCGTCCTGCAGCATGAGCGCGGCTTTGTCCACGAGGCTGTGTGCGGGGTCGTAGTCACCTTC